TTACTTATAAATTGGAAAATATACCTTAACGATCATTAACCTGTAATTTTACAATCAATGTCTCCTTTACAAGTTTAAGAATGTGGATTTAAAACTGATGGTTAGCACATGTAGAATGTGGGCTACGTATCTTAACTGTCATTGTGCAAAATAGTCAAATATCCTAGAAAAGGATGCTTTTTTCCTCTGAACCAATGTTTTACCAGACCAAAAAAAGGCAATGGAAAATTCTAAATCATAACCTATTGTCAACATTGGAAATAATTACAAATGTTTCTTTGCAGAGAGAAATGAATCCATTCCTGACAGTTCAAATATTTTTCAAATAGTTTTTCCCTGCATCACAAGCAAATCAAAGGCATTACTTTATGGAATATAAAATTTTTTCACATGTAAGTTTCAAACATCATGGATGTGAACGATTCTTTTAAAGAACAAACTTGATTCACTTCAGGTTTATTAAGTTAGCAAGAATCAATACCCTCAAAAGTATATCATTAATAAACATAAAAAGTCATAATAGATTTTTTTAAATTAATTTCCAGTGCCAGCCCTGTGGCATAGCATGTAAAGCCACTGCCTCCAGTGCTGGCATCCCATATGGGTGCCAGTTTGAGTCCTGGCCACTCCACTTCTGATGCAGCTCTCTGCTACGGCCTGGGAAAGCAGAAGATGGTCGAAGTCCTCAGGCCCCTTCAACCACATGGGAGACCTGGAGGAAGCTCCTGGCTCCAGATCCACGCAGCTCTGGCAGTTGCGTGAACCAGTGGATGGAAGCTCTCTCTCCCTCTCCACATCTTCTTCTCGGTGTAACTCTTTAAAATAAAATAAATCTTTAAAAATTAAATGAATTTCCTGATATTTACCACATTCAAATTACTTTCTACCCAGAAGGCAGGCAAGCCTTCCATGATACAAATGAGGAAGCTGAGCTCCTGAGATGATCCAAATTCCTACAGATCCAATGTAAACTGGAAAAACCAATTCAATTATAGCAGACCATCAATTTCTTATTAAATTATTACAATAGAAATATGCAATTAGAATACATTTAATCAAGTTAAGATTTTGAGAAATGTGCATTTTATTGCAGGCTGTGTTAAAATTTTTTTTTTTTTTTTTTTTTTTGGACAGGACAGAGTGGACAGTGAGAGAGAGAGAGAGAGAGAGAAAGGTCTTCCTTTGCCGTTGGTTCATCCCCCAACGGCCGCTGCGGCTGGCGCACCGCAGCTGATCCAAAGCCAGAAGCCAGGTGCTTCTCCTGGTCTCCCATGCAGGTGCAGGACCCAAGGACCTGGGCCATGCTCCACTGCCCTCCCGGGCCACAGCAGAGAGTTGGACTGGAAGAGGAGCAACTGGGACAGAATCCGGCGCCCCGATCAGGACTAGAACCCGGTGTGCCAGCAATGCAGGGGGAGGATTAGCCTATTGAGCCGCAGCACCAGCCAAAAATATTTTTCAATAAAAACAATTTGAGGTTAACATCTCAATATTAAACTTAGAACTCAAATACACAAATTTAAGCCATATCTAAAACACCAACATTGTAAACAGATATAAACTGTATCTATTAATAAATGTCTAGGCGAAGTAAGACTGGTTCTCTACTGAGAAAGGTCAATAAGTTTCCAACCAATGAATTTTATTCTGTGTCAAATGAGAACAAAAAGAAAAAATCACTGTCAGCAGAAATGCTAAGAAATAGCTATATATGGCATTAATTGGAATGAAGGTAATATATTCTGTTATTTCAAAATGTCAGATTTTTTAAAAAGGATAGTTCTACTCCAACATAATGTGTTTCTACCAAGGTTAACTGAGAAAAAAAACCTTAGCAAAACCATTTTTACCCCACTTTTTTATACCTATATGCAAATTACAATTTGAAGAAAGTATAAGGAAATTGCCCACAATTCCACCACCAAAACACAACTATTAACACTTTATTACTTCTTTCCAATCTTCTTATAAGACCTCTTAGAGTTAAAAATTCTGCCTTGTAACTCAACATTACAACATGCGGACATTTCCTTTACTGAATACTATAGACATTTTAAGCACTGTGTCTCATTTTAAAGTCAGTAGATTCTGAATTAAATCTGTTAGGCTGTTAAGACTATTTTAAAAGGAATTTCATTAAATATTTTTTTTAAATTTTTTTTGAAGTGTAGGAGACAAGCATTTGGCATAGTGGTTAAATTGCTGGTTGGAATGCCTGCATCCCAATCAGAGTGCCTGGGTTCCAGTTCTGGCTGTGCTCTCCATTCCAACTCCCTGCTAATATGCACACTGGGAGGCAGCCATGCTGGCTGTCCCTGCCTCCTATGTGAAAAGCACCTACTGAGTTCTGGGCCTCCAACTTTGGCCTGGTCCAGCCCTAGCTGTTGCAGGCATTTGGGTAGTGAACTGCCAGGAGGAAAATCTCTGTCTCTGCCTCAAATAAAGAATAGAAATTAAAATTTAAAAAAAATAAATTCCACCAGACTGCACTAGGACCCCTTGAGTAAAATATAATTTTGAGGGCTGGCATTGTGGTGTAGCATAAGCCGCCACCTGCAGCAAATCCAGGCTTCTTCCACTTCCAATCCAGCTCCTCGCTAATGTGCATGGGAAAGCAGAAAGCTGTCCAAGTGCTGGGTCCCTGAAGCCAGGTGGGAGACTTGGAAGAAGCTCCTGGCCCTACCCTGGCTGTTGTGGCTACTTGGGGAGTGAACCAGCAGATGGAAGCTCTTTCCCCTATCTCTCCCTCTCTGTGACTCTTTCAAATAAATAAATCTTAAATATATATATCATTTTTAGAAATTAGGAAATTCACAACCCACATAATTCCTGAATTTTCAAATGATGTGTACCTAATTAGTTCTTAATTTATATGCTTAGTAAGCTCGACTAATGATAATCACTTACAGTTGTAATATGCTCTTCCCTTTGCAAAACTCTTCTGTGCTATTTCACTGTCATTAAGCTATAAGATAGTTATGCATTCTCATACCAATGATGCAGAAAACTGATGTGTAGAGAGATGAAATTTACCCAGTCTATTCATAAGATCTGAACTAGTAATCTTTCATTTCCATTTGTGTTAACCTTCACTGATATTTCTATTTGTGTTAACCTTCACTGTGAAAAAGAAACACATGCCCACTAAAATGCTCTGGTAAAAATATACTAAACCTGGGGCCGGCGCTATAGCGTAGTAGATTAAGCCTCCGCTGCAGCGCCAGCATCCAACATGGGTGCCAGTTCAAGTCTCAGCCGCTCCTCTTCCCATCCAGCTCTCTACTAAGGCTTGGGAAGGCAGTGGAGGATGGCCCAAGTGGTTGGGCCTTTGCACCTCCTCCCCTCAACGTGGGAGACCTGGAAGAAGCTCCAGGCTCATGGTTTCCGATGGGTTCAGCTCCAGCTGGTACAGTTACTTGGGGGAGTGAACCAACGGTTGGAAAACACTTCTGTCTCTCCCTCTCTGTAACTCTCTCAAGTAGATAAAATAATTAAAATACATATGTATGTTAAACCTTTATAAAAAATAAGGTAATGTTGCATGTTTGATCACGCTGGAGAAATTCTAAACAAGGAACTCACATCATTAGGTGCACACAGGGGTGGAGGGGGTGAAACCTGTAACTGAGTCTATAATGTTCCAAGATGCATTTTTAAACATTTTTAAACACAAACACTTCACATCTACAAAGAAGCAAAACTGCTTATGCAGCCACATTCCCTTCAGTATCAGAGTCCCGTCCAGTCTAAGTATGAAGTGGGATAACAATACCTATCTCAGCTGGTCGTGGTAAGGGTTAAAGGAGTTAATTTACATAAACCATTTAGTCCTGTGCAGGCCACATGTAAGCCCTAGTAAGTGTTATCTGCAAACTCTTTAAGCCTGTTTTCCCCCATCAGGTAGGAAAGACACAGACTCTCAAACTTCAACAGAACGAATTTCACACTCTGATATGCAAGTGCTGTTAAAACCTGAGTGCTAAGTATCTAATTTTTAAATTGCACTATGTAGCTACAGACCAGCCTATCAAACACTTTTTCTGGCATGCCTGCCCAAGCTTCAGCATCCTCCTAAGGACACACTTATGGCCTCCATTCCATACTTTACCGAAAACCATGTGAACATCAGGCTGTACTTCCACGTACAGATCAATTTTTAAAAAATCATCACAGCAATAAGTAGCAACCCAATGTTTATCATCTCATTGCAATAAAATGGGAAATGTAATGGAAAAGTGTGTTCAATAACTGATGCTAAACTGATTCAAAATTTGTGGTACACTGAAAATAGTACTGAAAGGGGAGAAAAATCAGTTCTGCTTTCTTCTCTTTCTATTAGCATGATTCTTCGGTAGTTTTTGCTTGCTTCTGGAATAGGTTTTTCAAGGAGAGCAGACGGAAATAAAGTCTTGTCACTTTCTGGAAAGGCGTACCCTGTTAATGTGGGGCTCTCCACTAGGCAACACAGCACAGTTGCCTTGGGTCAGATATACCACAACTCCAGTAACAGGCAGGCTTGGTTAAGAGACCACCAGAAGCCATTCCATCCGCTTTAACACAGGATGGTAATTATCACGACTCAGCTTTAATGGGTTTAGGATGGCTATTTCATTTCCTGGCCTTACTACTCTGCCTGGCCATCCACCTGGCTTAACTTTGGGGGGGGGGGGGCTCACATCTCCCAAAGTTCTTTTTCCTCCTTCCCCAGAGTAAGGATACAATGTCAAAGCGGGCTTTCAGAGCAGAGGCTCAGGTACATCTTTTCAGGAAAATGAAATGCCTTGCCAAAAAAAAAAGTAACATCGCGCCAACTTGGGGAACAGGCAGAGCCCACCTCTGCAACTCAACGCTTGCCAGGTTTGGCCAAGCACAGGAGCGCAGCGCATCGGCCTTTGCAGATTCATTTAAAGACCCGGAGACAGCGAACCCGGGGGAGGTCCCCCGGGCCCCGCTTCGTCCCCCGGGCCCCGCGCACCGCGCACTCCCCCGGGGCTGCTCACCTTGCTGGGCTCCGGCGTCTTCGAGCAGCAGAAGCAGAATAAGTAGGAGCAGGAGGCACAGAGGCATGGAGGAGGAGGAGGAGGAGGAGTTGGAGCCGAGAGGGAGGGAGCAGTAAAGGGGGAGCGCGGTCCGGGCGGGGGCGGCGGCCGCGGCCCGGACTCGGGGACACCGCGGGCTGCGCCCGGCTCTCACCACCGCCCGGCTAGCCATCCAGGCGGCTGACGGTTCGCCTGCATAGTGCGGGCGCCCCGGGACTGCAGCACCGGGCGTGGAGGCTGCGGCTGCGGGGCGGGAGAGCGAAAGGCAGCGCGCGCCTCGCCCCGCGCCGGGACCCCTCCGCCCCTCACCTCGCTTTCACCTCCTCCTCCTCCTCCTCCTTCGTCCCTTCCCTCCGCTCCCCGCCCCAAGACCCCAGGCCGGAGCGCAGGGGAGGGGAGGGAAGGAGGCGGGGTGCTCGGGCCGCGGAGGGCGGCCGCACGGAGCTGGGGGCAGCGCCTCTCGCGCCGCGCTTCTCTCTCGGACTCGGGTCCCCGCGCTCTCCCGCGGCTCAGGCTAGCTGGCAGGCCCGCGAGCCGCCCGCTCCCTCGCGCTCCCTCTTGCGCGCGCCGGCCACGCCTCCGAGGCCACCACAGCCAATCTGCGGTCAGCTGCGGTCCATCTCTTTCCGCATTATCCAATCAGCACGCTCTCTCCTCAGTCGACCCGTTAACTACCCGGCCCACTCTTCGAACTCCAACGCCCCTTATCAGCACTCTCCAATCCCCTTCGGCCTTCTGCAGCGTCCCACCCGCCTCCCCCAATCTGGGTTCCGCCCCCAAGCTCCGGTCCCCGGCGGCCCCCGCCCGGCCCGGGCCTCTGTTATTGTTGGGACCGCAGCCCTGAGCGGTCGCGCTGAGGCGGCCGCCAGCCCCGGTCAATGACTTCCGGGACTTCCCCCATCCCGCGCACCCGGCTCCCCTAGCCCAGCGCTCTTGGCTCCTCCCCTGCCGCTCATCAGGCCACTGGAAGGGGTGGGAACCCTGGATCCTGGATGGTGTTAGCTGGGAGCTGAGTCTAAAGGACTTTCTTTGAATAGCAGAGCGTGTTTTTTATTAAAACTATCGGCAAGTTGTTGGAGCAACTCCGAGTTACGATTGCAGACGCAGTATTCAATTTTTAAACATGCATTTCCTGTCTCTTGTGTCCTTTACTATATGGGGGCGGAGCGGGAGCTGGGGGGGGGGGGGGACTAAAAACAAGATCCATGCCCTGAAGGTAGTTTAATATCCTAACGTGCAGTCAGATTATTCGGCAGAGTTGTTGAGCACCTGCTATCTGCAAACACTGGTGTGAGAGTCATGCGAAGTATAGCCGTAATACAGACGTCTTACAGAATGGAACAGAAATGTAAACTCATGCAAGCTTTAGTGAAATAAATGCCAATTAGAATAACAAGCAGTGTGAGGAGGGAGAGAGCAGGTGGAGTGATAAAAAGAACATATCTTTAGGAAAAGAATCCACAAGACTAGGCAATGGTTGATTTCAGAGAGGAAAGACATTCCATCTAGGATGTTCTTAACAGGAGCAGGTGACAGTAGGATGATGTCCTCAACAAATACAGGGAAGTAGAAAGGTTGTGTGAAAAAGAGGACCGGTGTTGTGCAACATGCCAGCATGCCATGTGAACACTAGTTCAAGTTTAGGCTGCTCCGTTTCCAACCAGGTCCCTGCTAAAGCACCTGGGAAAGCAGTGGAGGATGACCCAAATTTTTTGACTTTTGTCACCCACATGGGAGATCAGGAAGTTCCAGGCTCCTGGCATATGCCTGGCTGAGCCCTGGCTGTTGTAGCCATTTGGGTAGTGAACCAGTGTATGGAAGATGTCTCTCTCCCTAACTCTGCATTGCAAATAAATCCAGCTTTTAAAAAAAGAGAGAGAAAAGTAGGTTAATTTTGGGTATACAGATGGCTCCTGATTTAGAAAGCTCAACTTAAGGTTTTATGGTGGTAGAAAAACAATATGCAGTCAGTCAAAACCAAACTTCAAATCTGAATGTTCATCTTTTCCCTGGGCTAGTGATATGCAGAATAATACTCTCTTGTGGCACTGGGTGGGTAGCTCCCAGTCAGGAACAAGATCACAAGGGTAAACAAACAACTGATTGCTCTACAGCGTGCTGTGTTCAGTAGGCAACAAGCTATGATGGTCAGCAGGCATTTTTAACAGAATAGTATTTCCAGTTTACAATGGGTGCATCCAGAGACAAAGAACTTCTGTACTAAATTTGAGATGCCAACTTGGCTAATAAGTGAAGCTATATAACAGACAGGTGGACATTTTAGTCTAAGCTCAGGTTGAGAAGTGCTTTAAAATTATGGGTCTGTGAGTCATGAATAGATGATATATTCAGACACATGATATCCTCAAATGACAATCAGAGAGTTGGAAAGGACTTTTGAGGTATGTTTTTCAACTCCTCTGCATACTTCTCATGCAATAAACTCTTCCACTAAATTTATTCAATAAGCTTTTGTTGAATGTAGATGGAGATCTATTATGTTCTAGACTTAATGTAGGCATTGGGCATACAAAGCTCCATCAGAGGAGCTTCCCTTAATGTGGGGGAGGTGTGTAAATTACTGCATTGTTACCAGTACCATGTTGGAAGTATGGACTGGGTCATAGTGGACTCATCACAGTGAGTATGAAACTCTAGGTGAGTCTTTTTTTGTTTGTTTGTTTTAAGATTTATTTATTTATTTGAAAGGCAGAGTTTAGAGAGAGGCAGAGGCATAGAAAGAAGTCTTCCATCTGCAGTTTCACTCCCCAATTGGCTGCAATGGCCAAAGCTGCACTGATCTGAAGCCAGGAGCCAGGAGCCAGGAGCTTCTTCCAGGTCTCCTACGAAGGTGCAGGGACCCAAGGACTTGGGCTATCTTCTACTGCTATCCCAGGCCATAGCAGAGAGCAGCGGGACTTGAACGGGTGCCCATTTGGGATGCTGGCACTGCAGGTGGCAGCTTTATTGGCTATTCCACAGTGCAGGCCCCTCAGTGAGTCTTGAATAAGAAGACAGAAGAGGAAGGAGGCCTCTGTTAGAAGTAAAATAAGCTGAATCACAGAAGTAGTAAACAGTGTTGGTGCAGCTGAATGGAGTTGACTCCTGCTAATGTGATGGGAAGAACTAGAGACTAGATTGAAAAAGTTAATAGGTGCAAGGCTATGACAGGCTGAGTCAAGATCTTTACTTTTTAACACTGAGAAATAACTTAAGAGTTGTAAGAAAAAGTGACATCAGATTGTGATTGTAGAAAACTCAGACAGGAAGGCAAGGAATGGATTGGAATTAGAACAAGACTGGAAGCCAGGAAGAGCTAGTCTGGAGTTGAAGGGAATGACTGTGAGTCTTAACTGCATTAGGCATGGTCTTGGAAAGGGGCACTGGCTGGAGGAATATTTGTGAACCTAGAGACTGATTAGATGTGGGGAATAGGGAGGAGTTGAGCAAAATCCTCAAGTTTCTAGGTAGAAGATGTTGCCTTTTACATAGTAAGCAGCACAGGAAGAGCATAGGCTGGTTTGGACAGGTAAGGACATAGAAGATGTGAAATGGAACCCGGTATTGAACATATCAAACAGGGTGTGCTAATGTGTCAAACTATCAGTCATGAACTAAGACTTCCTAGTTATAGTCTCTGAGACAATCCACTTCATCTGTTGGGCCACTCCCCTCATAGGGCCATGGGGTGATAACCTGAGTTCTCAGAGGTGGTGACAGAGCAAGGTGTTATGGACCTCATGCTGACGTCCATTGACAACCTAGAACCTGTTCCAGAGGGAATGAATTCACCAGTGAACAACACAGTTATGGAAGCCTTTCTGGAAGAGAACAAAACCTGGACTACAGCCATCTATATCACTTACTACTAATGTGAAAAGATGCAGACCACGTGCCCTGAAAGCAAGAGAAAAAAGCACTTAGCTTTTCTCATCCCTATACTGCATTTAAAGGTTATTAACATGGAGACTAGAGAGATAAAGAAGTTCTGAATGAGGTCAGTGCAGAGAAAGAAGAGGGCGGTAAAATAAAAGTGGAGTTAATATTTAAAGTGGTGAAACCAAAAGTTCTTGGTCACTAATGCCATTTGATGATTTCCATATCATTTTGTGCTTCAGTTTTCTGCGTTTTGCTTTAGAAAAATGGGGTCTGGATCTCAGGATAGAGATTGCTCCATGTGCATAGGGAATTACTATAGCACAAATGTGGATGACAGATAATGTTATTGGTGACTTTATTCTGTCTTCATTTCTCCTAATCATAGTTCGTCTACTGAGCTGCAAGAACAATGGCTGAAGGCTGCTATGAGATGACCAAACTTTCCTTGTAGGAGCTCACACAAAAGCAACATAATGGCATTCATCTCTAGGAGAAAACCTGCGCAGAGGTAGATATCTAGTTTATATAAATATTTATATTTATTTCTAGTTTATTTCTCTCACACTCTGCATGCTGCTCCAGCCAACTTTGTCATCTTCCTTGCTTCTAGAAATTGGTTCATTTGGGGTTGACATCTACTGAGGCAATGGGAGCCATACTTGTCCAGGATCATTTTATCTACATGACCCAGATGCGTCATACTGGGACACAACTGGGGATACAATTCAGGAAAGTGGATAAGTTTGAAGGAGGCCATCATCATAGCAACCAGAGGCCCCAAGAAGCTAAAGTGCCTCCAGCAGGGAATCCCAGGGACCAGCTCTTTCCTACAGAGTCTCAAAAAGTAGGAGCTTTAGACGATCCCATGGGCACAAAACAGAACAAACCCAAATTGAACAGTGTCCTAATTGAACCTGAATTCATTGACATGGAATAGGACTAGTAGCAGTCACGATTGACTTAGTTTCATTGGCTGGTAAATGCATGAATGCTTTGAAAGGGGGTTCTGGGGAAGATTAGAGCTTCAGGAAGGGACCATGTGGGATAGTTAAATGTAGGATAGTTAAATGTGAAATACCAAAAATTAATATATGTGTTATTGTAATGCGTTTAGGGTTGTTCACAATAAGATATTTAAACATACAAATAGATCATCTACTTAAATTTTACTTCACCAGGACTTGAATCTTCTCTTTTCTTTTCTCTTTTTACTTCTCTTCTCTGATCAATAAAGAGTGGAAGAGAATGTGGAATTGCTCTACAGAGACAAGGGGAAATATGATAATAGTTATACCCAACTATTTTTGCTTTCAAGTGAATCCCAACCCAGCCAACTGCTAAGGAAATGAGAACAGGGGAGAAGACCCTGGGAGCTGGTACCTATGCATCTGTCCCTACAGAAACATCTGGGTTTTGATGTGTAATATGATAAAAATCATTTGGCACCATCATTGCTATTAAATGTCTGTTAAGCTTTAATGAAACAAAAGAGGCTCATTTAAAAATGGCATTTATACTGGAAACCTTAGCATAATGGTATGTAATGAATCATTGGTGAGCATTATCAGTGAGTGTGTATTTCTGGCAGGATAACAGAAAGAGGGAATGAACAAGAATTTACTTTTGTGATCTTCCAGTGGGGTGGGAGAAAATGAAGACTGTGGCAGTCTGGGGA